TTCTAACAAGAGAGGACTTCCATGGGCCAGGGATTTAGCTCAGTGGTTTTCCACCTGCTGCGCAAGCGCAAGGACCTGAGTTTGATCCCCGGTACAAAAAAAAAAAAAGAGAGAGGACTTCCATTTTTCTTATCTAGTGACCTCAAGCAAACACTGTTCAACTTAGCAAAACTGGCTACAGCATGAAGAAAAGGCTGATTCAAACTGAGACTTGAAAAATTAAGAGGAAATTTTTGTTTTAAAGGAAGAAGCAGGCCAGACATGGTGCCATACATCCTTAAACTCAGCAATTTTGGAGGCTGATTCAGGAGGATCACAAGTTTGAGACCAGTATGGGCAAATTAACAACTTAGCAATAACCCTGTCTCAAAGAAAAAAAAGTAATAAATCATTACATACCATATTCACATGTTTATGCAAATAGTTATATTGTTTAATGAAATGGGCCTCATTGCTTCAAGAGGTACAGTTGCCAAATTATTCATATTTTGAATGCAGTAGGTAGAAATGAGGGCTAACAAGAAGTTGAGAAATAGGGCAGATGAACATGTGTAGTGGCTGGCTTGAGAAGGCAGCGATATGAACAGATACCAGTCAGTGGGCTGTCTGGCATGTGGTTTCTGGGCTCATTATAAACCATCTCCTGTTCAACGTAGTCTTTTCATTCTGCTAGGGTTTTTATTTATCTGTTTGCAGATTTGACCACTGCACCAGCAATCTCTGCAAATTAGCCTCCTGGATCTCATTATGTTGTAAAGGAGAGCTTTCTCAGAAATCTGCTCTGCCTCAGTCTCCATGCTACCATGGGCTGTGGAAAAGTAATAGGATGCGCAGCTGCAACACATTTTCCAGGAAGGAGACTGTTCCTGGTAACATTCAAGTCGGCAAGTGGATATTCATTAAAAACTCATTCTCTGCTTTCTCACTGCACCCCTGCCTGCCTTTCTTTGCATCTCTGTCACTAAGCCATCATTGAAGCTACTCATTAAACTCATGAAGTTAACATTTCTCTTTTAACTGCTTACTACAAGGGATTTCAGAATTGATTATCCATCTAAAATGTATGTGCTCCATTCATTACAGATCCACACAGAGAGCCCATGGCTACTATTACAGCTCCCAGAGTACATGAAGGATATCTATTCCACCCACAGGTGAGCATGTATGTTCTGACTTAGGGCTAATTTAAACTGAATATTTGGAAATTACTGCAAATCCCAAATTGTATCTGACATTCCTCCCTACCCATCTCCATGTTATACTTCTCTCTTGGGAATAAAAAGGAGAAGAACCATAGTAGGAATTACATGAACAAGTAAGTTTCTTACAAGGGTCACAGTACAAGTTCACTGAAAGGTTGTGCCATCGTATTTAAAAAAACAATGACAAGGGAAAGCACAAAAAATCTTAAATGTACATTGGAGATAAGATTATTAAAGCTAACAAAGACATACAAAATATATTTACTAGGGAAAATCAACTAAAACTAGAGCAACTACCTGAAAAATAAAATCAGGCGTGGAAATGCTAGGTCACTTC